AATCAGCATATACTTTTGCCAGGGGATGCCACCCCTGAAATTCTCCTGCCACCCCATGCATTTCTAGATCCGCCCCTGACTTTCAGCCATCTCTGTAGATATACAGTCTTTACAGACTCCTCTGGGCTTTCATTTTGTTGAAAATAAACTCTGTAACCTCACTCCACAAGCGCTGCCTCTCACTCTTCTTCCATAATGGGCAATGTGACAATGTGCCTTCAGGGTTTTTCCTGAAGAGAAAAAATCAGTGAAAGCTGATTGTTCATTGTGCCTTAGAAGTGAAGACTTTAAGTATCATTAATGTCCTCAGTCACAGCAGACAGTGTGGTCTTATCTGACATGTAAACAGGCTGTGAAGAGGTTAGAAGTGCTCATGTTAAAACACTGAAAAAAGTGTCTCAGTTAGAATTTGTGGCGCTACAAGATTTTCCATTCGGTTTGTTCCGATTGAAAGTGAGCAGGATATTTTGTGTAAATAAGCGAAAATATGCAATTCTAATCAAATCACCTAAATCTGTATCTGTATCACAGATTTATTCCAATTCCAAAAATCTCCCTGAACAACTTAGAGTCCTGGGAGGTCTCTCACATGTCATAGAGTTGCTCTAAAAATCTTCAAAGAGAAGCACTCTGAACCTTGCAGAATATTTTTGGCTTGATAAAAAAGAAGCAGTCGGCCTGTGTTGAATAAACCAAACAATCTCACTGCAGACGTCAGAAAAGATTCAGAACCCTAGAACAGTGACATGAAAAAACATTATGAAAAGGAAGAACAGAAATAGAAACAGAACTTGTGAACTCGTGAATATTAATAAAAAGCTTTGTAAAAGTGATCAGGGAGTTCCTGAAAAAGAGAGCCAACTATATTAGCAAACTATAAGTAGATATTGCACTTCACTGATTTAATGATTCCTTTCCCATTCGCAATTCGCATAATCCAATAACCAAAGTAGCCTTTGGTCTTAATCACTGTCAATATGCCATGTCCATAATTGTTTAAGTTAAGTTCCATTACGTACTATATTCCAGGAAACACAGAGCTTATTTGATGTTATCAGTGACATGTAGAAACCAAAGTGGTTTATTGCCAATTTCATTTTTTTTTCTCCTCGCCTTTATTTCTGTTCTCTCCCAGGCAAAGCTGCATTGGAAAATATGATTAAAAAGTAAGCATTAGGGCTGTTAATTCAAGAAACATTTGTATTTGATCTGATCTCACCGAAGACAATGTGCTAATCAAAAAGAAGGCACTTTGTCATAACAAGCACATGTTTTGTATTGTACTTGCTCCTGTTTAGCACCATGATTTCTTGAGGCGAGTCCATCTACCTCAGTTGTTATTTTGGTTCCAAAACACAGTGCAAAATTCTCAATTATTTACAAAATTAGTTGTCAGTAAGAAATAAGAATAACTGTAATATTCATACAGAGTCAGTTAAAGGTTGTTTGAATCAGTCTTATCTCGGGATCAGGAGGGATCAGAAGATGAATCGGAGCTCAGAAGAAAGAAGATTAAAAACAGAAGGTTTTACCTTTTCTGGACACTCAAACCTAATTCATTCTAAAGCATATGTGCAGCCTGTGAGATAAGCAGCATTTTGCTACAAAGGATTACTAGCAAAGAAAGGTTGAGTTCTTGAGAATGATATTAAAACCACTTTGAGAAACTGTTCTTTAATCATATGTGTCAAAACCTTAATCATCTGCACTGAGTAGTTATGTACTATATAGCAACAGATGTCCCATATCTGTATTAGGTTAGTTTAAAGCAATAATATTAAGTTTAAATGAAAAATATTAGGTTCAACTTAATATTGCTTTCAACTAATCCATTACAGTTATCTGACATTTTTTGACAATACATTTAATTAAAGTAAATGTTTCATATAATTGAATAATCATACCTGGGGACAAAATCCACCTTATGATAGCATCTTTCTCTCTCATGTTCCTTGTAGCTGCGCTCCATCCAGGACCTTCAGACGGTTCAGATCATCAGGATCTTGCGGTACGAGAAGAAGGTGGCCGCTATGTTTTTGCTGATGATCACCTGCTTCCTGGTGTGTTGGACACCCTACGCTGTAGTGTCGATGTTGGAGGCCTTCGGCAGAAAGAGCATGGTCTCTCCCGTGGTGGCCATCATCCCCTCGTTCTTTGCCAAGTCCAGCGCGGCCTACAACCCCCTCATCTACGTTTTCATGAGCAGAAAGGTTGGTAGTCCTAAAGTTCTGTAAATAATAGATTTGAAGACTGCAATCAATAACTTTTGATCTGTTCTAGATGCACTTAAAAACCTGCAACTATGGGACTCTGCTCCCCTTCTTGCTCTGTGAGGATGAGGTCAATAAAAAGACTTAACAATCTCTGCAGAGCCAACGTGTTGCATCTTGAATATATTCTGTTTTTTGCTACAGAGTTCTGATTGGGAACTTTCCTGTGTGTTCCGCCAATTATTTCCCCTCCAGTGACCACAGCTGAAGTGAGAATTCGATAGGGCAAATCAATGTCATCTCCAATAGGGGCAGCGATTTGTTTTGCTCTGGTGCTGCTCCAGTTTGCGGTTTCAGTAGAAAAGAGATTTATTATCATTGTAAAATAAACGGGTATTTTATGAGCATTTGTCGGAAGATCTTTGCCCAAAATAGTGCAGACATTAATTTGCCACTGTTACTTAATGAGAAATCTGCCAAATAGTGGAAAGAGATATATTTCTAATGAGAATAAAATCTGCATCATAGTCCAGGTGTCAGGGTTTTTCCTGTTTTACATTAATAAATTGTATTAAGTATAATTATTCCATAATTTATACATTTCAATCACCTACATTGGTGATAAAAAGAAGCTGTATAATGGTAAACCATGTATTCCTTCAGTATTCATTATTGTTTGTGTAGGTCTGAAACTGTGTCTTACATTTGTCTCAGTTTACTGGCATTTTTAAACGCTGGTCCTGTGTGTTTGACAGACAAATGAGTGAGGAAAGGGTGACATTTCATCCCTTTTCTTAAGTAATATCCTTTAATCTTGCTTCCCCCTCACAGTTCCGGCGCTGTTTGCTCCAGCTGCTGTGCTCGCGGCTGTCTTGGTTGCAGCACAGCCTCAAAGAGCGCCCCATGACTCCGGTCCAACGGCCCATACGACCGATCGTCATGTCCGGAAACTACGGCAGCAGGAACCGACCTAAGAAGAGGGTGACTTTCAGCTCCTCCTCCATTGTTTTTATCATCACCAGCAATGACTTCCACCAACTTGATGTGACCTCCAAGGCTAGAAGCCCTGCGGAGGTTAATGTCATTCAAATCAGGCCACTCTGATCCGCAAGGACAGGACTTCTCACCCCACCATCACTATGCCTTAGGACCTAAATCAAACCAAAATAACCCTCTCTAACCTCCCGGGATATTACTATGTATATACACAGTTATGAATTTGTTAAGACTACATGTTAGCCCGAGACCTCAGCTGAACCTCTTTGCACTGTGTTGTTTAAGCAGGTAGTTTAACAAAACATTTTTCAAAAAGGCCTCATTTCACAACTGCAGAACTGTTTGGAGTTGTTAGCAGTGTTATGGAACTGAGTACATTGTTTGGTTGGTACCCAACTGTAAGCATGTACAACCACACAAATAGGCCTTAGCTCCTTAGCTAGCAAACTGACATTATTTAGTATGGATTCAATAAAGATCCTATTTATAGCTACCTACTGTAGTTTATGTAACTTTAAATTAATCTCCGGAGTGACGATAGCAGGAACTGTGAAATGACATTTGGTGGATCACCACAGATGAGGACTACAGGAGTGTAATTATATAAGAGGCGATGAGAGTATGCGCCAGTGAGACACTCCTTTCATAACATCCTGGCCTGTCAGCTATGAATAGACTTGATGAATGGATTTCCATAGCTGATAAAACCCTTAATCCTTGGAGACATGTGACTTAGTCAGTGAGGTGTCTTTTTATGCGTTTAGTTTGAAGAATAGTTATTGAATTACACTTGTTTGGTATCTTGCTGAAGCTACGTTGGTAATCTTCCTCAAAACATGTTGCGTTGTGTTTGTTGAAATTGTTTTAACATCCTGACAGCAATTAATAAATCAAATGCTCTGTCTGAAATAAAGAAGGTTTCTAGGACTTTTTTAAAGCTTGCCTATCATTTTCTTCGGCCATTAATGAAATCATTGGATAGTGAACTGCCTTTATGCCTGCTAGCTTAAAAGCTGTGAGTGATAACAGTAGGAATGCTCCTTGTTGACTTTCATATCGCTAAGTGGCTTTTGAAGGAATCCTGAAGAGACTGAGATATGCTGTCAGTGTTGCCGCCTTTTTTCCCTACATTTAGAGCTATTGCTACGAGCTACTTTAATTCGGAAAGGCTTAGCAGAACAGGGCTGGGTTTTTTTGGTTGGAGCTTACTTTCAAAATCTACCATCTTCTTGCGAGTTCCATGAGTGATGAGTTTCAGCGTCAAGATTATTTTCTCAGTCAGTGGAAATGTAGCCATACTGTACATGGTTGATTCCTGTTGCAGACCAAAATTGGCAATTTACAGGCATGACAGATCTTAATAGGTAGCATATTATTTCATGTTTTAGAATTTTAGCTTGGAAGGTTTTTCGGATATTAGAGATATGGAGGGAAGATCCAGGGTCTACATCCAAAAATTGTCCATGTTTGATGTCCAAATGTTCATTAAGTTAATACTAACTCTCGCTCTACGTACTGACAATCCACTTTGTGCTCGAGGTTTAAACTTTCTTAGCCGGTGTTGAGTTTTCCTGTCAATCAGTCTCTGTTTGCCTATAAGACAAAGATCGGTGTCATTTGTGACATATTCTACACACTATCTTGTGCAGGATACGTATGCATATCAGATTTTTAGAGGCATGTAGAAATGTCCTATTCAGAAGAGGAATGTGAAAATCCTCTCTAGTCAGTTCAGTCAGACATTTTAGGTGACACTCAGATAAGAAAAGACATCTTTGAGTGATCTTTTACTACATTTAAAGACAAAGACCACTCAAAGATGTTTCCAATACATCAAACTATTTCTATAAAAGTTACGTTTTATAACAACAATATCAGTTGAAACAATATGAAAATGTATTAGGGTAACCCACGTGTACTTACAGAGCTTAGCAGCTTGTTTTAAGTCTGTTGCTTGTTTTTTTATGTGACATTTTTAATGTACTTTTGCTGTTTTGTTCTAGGTCTGTTGGCTGTGCTTTTATGTGAAACTCTTGGCTAAAACATGTTTTTCTCTCAATGGGAATATATTGGCAAATTTAAAGAAAAATCTCACCTTTACAGAACATTCATATATTACGTTTCAGCTTTATATGTTGCTGTTCCACCCACAAATGTGCTGTTCTGGTTTGCTGTTAGAGGCTCTGGCAGCAATTATCAGAGAAGAATCTCGATAAAAGCATCTGTACTTTACCTACTAAGCCCCACACAGCACTGTTAGTAACTGGTTGCTGAAAATAAAACAAGAGCTTTTAGCACCTGAAGAGACAGATATTTGTCTAGGGGGTTGGTAAAGACCAAACCCGGAGAAAAACAAATTGAGAATTTGATGAATATTCCTCAGGTAGACACAAACACGTCTCCAAATGAATGACCATGTTGCTTTCCAAAACTTGCTAACAAGTTCCAGAACTGAATATGGGTTCATAACTGGTTTCCACGGCCCTCAAGTGGCCTAAATGATAGATTTGAAAGAAGTCCCTCATTCTGCATAAATTCAATGATGTATGAAAGATCTAACAGTAACAATGAGGCATTTATTAGAAATGTATGGAATATCTCACACAGCATGTAGCCTATGAGTTTACAACTATTTTGTTCTCAAATTGAAAATTGTGAAAATGATGATGCATGGAAATAATAGACAACATTATTCAGTAACATAATCAGTTAAACAGAATACATTTGATATAATTATCAATCTTTATAACTTGTATTAGTTACAGTAGGTTAGGACAGTCACTATTCACCAACATGTATAGGCTGGCAGAGCCTTCATTGTGGTTATAAGATGATTCCAACTCTTTTCACAATATGGATTCTCTCATTTCTCATGTTTGATGCACTTGTCTGTCAGATCGGAGCCGGGTCTCAGGAGGTCCAGAGGGACATGAGCCTGGCCCACATCTTCTCAGTGGGGATGATGAGCTTGTTGATATCAGGAGGATTTTTAATGAGAAGGTAGGAGCCTCCCAAAACAGCTCCTGTCGCACCGAACAGCAGGCCGCGGTTTATCACCTGTGAAAAATACATCAGTACATTTTTCTTAATTAAATAGGGATCAGCTTTATGCACACACACTTTTAAATTCCTAACACCTTCCCTTTTTAAATGAATTCCTTTTTGAGGAACATTCGTAGATTGAAAGCATCAAGCACATCATAAAAAAACAAACTGTCATACTTTACTCTACTCTACTCTAGGCCTTTAGTTGGTCCTATTTCGTTGTTTTTAACTAATTTAGGGATGAACTGAAGATGAACTGCTGCTTTAACCTATGCCATCTGTTACTCCTAAAACATTAGCTGAACATGTACAAAAATAAAGTTTCCTATAATATATGGATATTGTCTTAGCAGTATTGATATTACATGTTACTTGTTGATATATTTATATCAAAATGTATTGGACAAAATCTAACTTCGACTGAAAAGTTAAAGTTTTATGTAAAAAAGTGATTAGGCTTAAAAATAAACCTAGTTTTGTGTACAAATTGGTATAATGCATTTTTCTTTGTGCTGCCTTCAGGCCATTCTCTTTCAAATATTTCAGGTTTAGGGAGTAATGGATTACATGTAACGGGATTACGTAATCAGGATTAAAGAAAAAAGTTAACTGTATTCCCTTAGTTACATACACATAGTTCAAAAAAAAAAGTCAGATCACTGTCAATTTTTCAAAATTGGGGATAACTCAGGATAATAATGTTACTAAAAACCTAGAAAGAGCATATAGTGTTTGTTGTAAAGGATCAGATGTTTTCTCTTCTCTGTCAGCTGTACTGTTCTGTAGGCTAACACTTTAAGAGTGAATCTATACGCCTATGCCTGAATCTGCTTTATGGTTTTCACTTTATTTGCTTAATTTGTTCTGTTTTTAATTCAGCAAGTGAACCTGTATGTTCATAACATTGTGTGTGTGTGAGCTTAACTGTGTGTATTAAACTAAAACGGAGCATTTTGTGTCTGCTCAGATTTTATTTCAACAAAATAGAGAGGTTATCTAGCTTTTGCCCCAAAATCCCACCGGGTCGAAACAATTGACAAAAGAGGTTGTTAAATCCCGGCTGTCCTTCTGACAGGGGACCATTACTGCAGAAGACATCAGGTCATCAGACAGTTTAACACAGTACCAAGGACTACATGTCTCATGACATCCAACAGCAGAAATCAGAAGAAGAAAAAAATGGTGCTGCAAAGCTGTATTTGGGAATAAAGTATATAAGTACAAACAATAAAGTAAATGAAGGGGACCTATTATGCTTTGGGGGGTTTTCCCTTTCCTGTAGTGTGTTCTCTAGGTTTGTGTGCATGTTAATGGTCTGCAAAGGCTAAAATCCCTGTGTTCCCTTCAGAGCAGTGGTGTCAAACTCAAGGCCCGGGGGTTGAGTGCAACCATAATGCCTATGTGGCCCGTGATGAAATTGAGTTGGACACCCCTGCTTCAGAGGGAGTTTCTCTCCCACACACTCCCCCCGGCCTGAAACATTGGACTCTAACACTCGCGCTTCTATTGGCTATTACTCCAAAACGTTGTTTTTGATATGCTAGGGGGAGGGACCACTCTAAGCGGTTGACCAATCACAACAATTAAGAGGCAAATATCATATTTATTTTAAACTTAGTTACTTTTTACATATAAAACACACAATATGCTGATTTAAAATTCAGGACTTTTTCTTGAAATTTAGTATTCACAGACCATAGTAATTCTACTTTTACTCAAAACAATTATTTATGCTTCTACCACCACTGGAAATATATCATAAAATAAAATTGTACGCAGTAAAGATTAAATAAAGAGAAGACCGATTTTCTTACTTTGTCCTGCCATTTCCAGCGGTCCACAGCCTTATGGTACCTTTCCCTGGTGAAAGTGACCTGGAGGCAGTGAAGTACAGAAATGAAAACGTCTTCTTGTATCAGACATTGATTATTCAGTTCACTAGGACACTTACCATTGTGTAAAGTGGAACTATTGTATTTGGCAGGAAGAAGTGGAGGAAGTTGTCGAGATGTTTTCTGAAAAGGAACCACTTTGAGTTGACATGGGCTCTCATCTACAACAAAAACAAAAAGGACAAGTGTTTAGTGAAGTGAACCACCTTTCATTCATAACGCAATTTCCTAAAACTCAAGAGTCTAATTTACTCTGCAATATTTGGGGATCAAGCTAACACAAAGTGCCAATTTATGGCTTTTGGAGAACCTGAATTGTATTGGACAGAGTGTTAGGGAGCTGGCTTCCTGTCAGATGTAAATCTCTACACCCAGAACTAAGGCTGACTTTCCTCTAATTATGAAGGGTCTTTTATGGGTAGTGAACGGGCCTACCAGGACAAGACCAGGGGCCCAAAGTGTCAACGCCCATTGGTCCTTAGCTACATAATGTCGGTCAAAGAGACACGTGCCAACCAAGAAGTGAATCAAAATGACCACAAAGACACTTAAAACGACTAAAAGAGGCAAAAAGGACCACGTTGAGACCGAATCAACTACAATGAGATGCAAAACAGTCAAACTAAATAGCTAACTAAATGCTACAAACAAACGACATGGTGGTAGTATGGCTTGATGACAACACTGCAAAGCTAAAGGTGGCTAAAATTCTGCCTGATTACATTTATCAGTCTCATATCTCATTGGGGTAAGGTATCTTGCTCAATAACATCGTCATGGGGATCCAACCACTGACCTTCCAATTAAACAGCTAGTTAAGTTTTGTTTCTATGGTTATGTCCCCTGATAGCTTGCACCGCTTCATACAGCTGTTATCTGATTGGTTGTCAGAGAGGTAAAAAGGTCAGTCCTAAGAAGGTAAAACTTTAAATAATTTGAACTAATTATCCCATACTCAGCTTTACAGATCTTCAAAGCTTCCATCAGCTCTTTTTTTTTGGTCGACCGGCCCACATCAATGCTGATTTAGTTAAATTGGACATATCAAATACATATGCATTACTTCAATGTAGTTGTACATGGCCAAGTCTGCGATGGCGTGATCGTCTGGAACTCGCACTCTGGTATACTCAGGCAGGACAGCACCTGGGTGGACACACAAAGGAAAAAGGCCACACTTTGTTATGAAATCCTCCGTCTCATTTAATCCATGCTCATTTCGAAAATACTTTCGAAAGTACTTACTGAAATCCTCATTGAGCTGCTCCATTATTTCGTCGAACACAATGCAGTCCTCAAAGCCCTATTAATTACAAATGTACTGATGAGTCTCTATTTAGTTATTTTTCTGCCTTTTTGTTCTCCTCGATTGAGTGTTACTCACAGCGTTCATCCCCTGCCCGTAGAAAGGCACCACTGCGTGTGCGGCATCGCCCATGAGGACACATTTATCCCCAATGTGGTACGGGGAGCACTTAATAGACACCATGGCCAGCCCAGGCAGTCGGAAATAATCCCTCTTGAGAGCATCACTGCAACACACAAATAGTAATAAAACAGTTAGCAACTTGTCATATTTTTTTAACTTTTCTTTTTTGCCTTGCTAAAAAAAGATCAGAATAACCCAAAATAGTGAAACAGCAAAACAGAAGAACAAAAACATTCCCTCGTTATTGAATGCACTCAAAATAAAGTAACCTCAGTGTGGAAGTGACTGATTTTTGTTGGAGTAAACATTCCTCAAAGAGGCCCTGTTATGCTTTGTGGATTTTCCCTCTCCTGTAGTGTGTTCTATAGGTGTGTGTGCATGCAAGTGCTCTGCAAAGGGTAACATTCCTGTGTTCCCTCCAGAGGGAGCTTCTCTCCATATTGACATCACTAAGTAACACTTCCGCTTCTATTGCACAACAGAGTCAGACAGCTAACCAATCAGAGCAGACTGTGCTCTGGTTTCAGACACAGGGTGAAAAGAGGTGCTGTAGCACAGGCAGTATGAGAAAAATAAAAAGCTTTTTGAACATTAAAGGTCTCCTATTATGCTATTTTTAGGCATATATTATGAGTCTCAGATATATACAAATATATAAAAACATGTCTATGATGTGTTTTGCTCAAAATACCAAACAGATCATGCATTTTAGACATCCCTCATATCCCTCTATTCCAGTCCTGTTAGAGAAACGCTGATTTTGGGTCCTTAGCTAGAAGAAAAAAAAGGAGGAGGCAGAGCTAAGAATTCTGCTCAGAATTCTACCGGCAGATACAGTTAAATGTTGCCGTGATTAAACGTCATCATGTTCCAAACCACATCAAGGACTATTTCTAAAACAGTTTGGAGCTCAAATGCTTTTTCTCTTGCGGGTTTACCTTTTTTTATTTCCTGCTTTTTTACACATACCCTCTCCAGTAGGCCTACAGGTTAGCTCTGAGCAGTGGCGGTGCCAGAGTATTTTTGTTGGGTATTCTATGGAAGGGCTAACCCATACAGTGGTGGGGCTCAAGTCAGTATTTGCAATGTAATTAAATACAAACTCCCCTTGACAGTTTCGATTATTTCCCTGTCTCAATCCAAATTGAACTGTATGAAAGAAAAAGGCACATTTGTCTTGTAGTAAATAAAAANAGCGACCTGGAGCCAATCCTGCAATTTCCCCGCAGGTGAAAGAGTTGGCATGCTGAAAACTCAACCCCTGCAGGGGGGTCTGGGGGAATTCTCCCACAGGAGATTTTTTGAAATACTAACATAAAATACACATTCTGGTACACTCTTGAGAAGAAAAATAAATAAATCTATTACTACATGACATATTTAAAAAAATGAATGCCATTTTAGTTTTGTGTTACTTTGTTCTGAAAGCTGAACCTGCTGCTCCTCACAGAGAGAAGAGGGAAGAGGCTGTGTGAATTACTTTACATTGTGGATTAGGGTGGATAGCCCCCATTGTTCCGTGTGTCAAAATGAAAGACAGCCCACACACCTATCAATCATCAAACCGTGGTGTCTTAATTCATTACGTGTTGATTTCTATCAACACGTATTTTGTTGTATCGATGTATATAGAGATGTACTACAGCAAAAGTATTCTCCGTCGGGACTTCCTGCAACAACACCACGCCATTATCTTGACTCTGATTGGCCAGAAGACATTATCAAAGATGTTCTATTGAGAAGACGATCACTACGTGACAAAAGTTTTCAAAACCGTTTCTAGTCTTCGCTATTTCCAGACAAGTGGCTACTTTAATCAATCTTACTAACTGCTGTCTGTGCAATTTACTTTACTTGGCGGACTTTATTTTTGTTTACTTTAACATCATTTTTCATGGTGGGGCTAAGGTGGGCAAATTGGTCTCAGGCAAGGGGCCAGACTAAGATTGGTTCACAAGACCTCATGAAAGACGACACACGAAGTGAGGATACCCGGCCCGGAGGAAGCCCGGGGTCCCCTTCTGGAGCCAGGCCGTGAACGAGGACTCGTCGGCGAGCGTCTGGTGGCCGGGCTTGCCACGGAGCCCGGCCGGGCACAGCCCGAAAAGGCAACGTGGGCAAGACCTCCGCTTCTCCGTCCCGCGGGCCCACCACCTACGGGAAACAGCGATGGGGTCGGGTGCGCTGCCAGAAGGGTGGCAGTGAAGGCAGAGGGTCTCGACGGACCAGACCCGGGCGGCAGAAGCTGGCTTTGGGGACGTGGAACGTCACCTCTCTGGGGGGGAAGGAGTCGGAGCTTGTGCGGGAGGTGGAGCGTTACCAGTTGGATCTGGTTGGGCTCACCTCTATGCACAGCATCGGCTCTGGAACCTTACTTCTGGATAGGGGTTGGACTCTCTTCTTCTCCAGAGTTGCTCAAGGTGTGAGGCGCCGGGCGGAGGTTGGGGACATTGAACCAGAGTGGTCGGTGTTCAAAGCCTCTATTGCCGAAGCCGCGGTCCCCAACCTCCGCCCGGCGCCTCACACCTTGAGCAACTCTGGAGAAGAANAAATTACGGCAAAACGCAATTACTACCCTGGTAGTAATTGGTCCGGGGGGCTGTGTTACGTGTATCAGACCTCGAGTGACCCCAGGACGTATACGAAATTAGTCCGCAAAATTGTGAAAGGGGTGCTTTTACTAAAAATTAGTAAAAAAGCCCCGATATATTTAGTTTAAGGCCCATTACGCCTCGTGTTAACATGGAAAATGATAAAATTACATAAACGTAATATATAGAAACCGATATTTTCGCTGTATATACCTACTGAAACAGTCAAATACCTCGAATAGGGTGTTTAGGGCCTCCTAGGCCCGGTTAAACCCTCGAGTATCCGACGGACGGTATCCGGGGGGGTGGGCACCTTTCTTTTTTTTACTTTCTTTTGCAGGTTAATATACAATTTTATTAGTTTTTTCCTGCAAAACTTTTCAATGTTGCCTCTTCCCCGAGTCCTCTTCCCCGAGCTTTTCGAGTTGGGAAGCCGGAAGCCCTGCTTCGGGCTTGTGAAGGGGGGGGGGGGCAACGTTACATGTTGCCTCTCCCCTTAGGTCTGAAGGGGAGAGGCAGGATTTTTTGGCAAGTGCAAAATGTTCGATGACAGACGTGCTTTAGCCTTTGGCCAAAAACTCTCCTGAGTCCTTTTTTTTGCCGACACATTGAAGTACCTCCTTAAGTAGGCGACATACACGTGACCGAGCCTATGTAAAACAACGGGCCTCTGGGGGGGTCGTACCAAGAATGTTGAAATTCAAAAACTTGACCCGAGGCCTCCTTCCGTTCCCCTCAACGGTTCCCTTGAGATAGGCGGAGTACCTCCGTGATAAAAGCCTATGTAAAATTGTGAAAATCGGGAAAAAACTACCAACAGGTTTTTTTATTGAGACTGAAAAAGTCTCACACCTCCTTACGTTCCCCTCAACTGTCCCTGAGATAGGCGGAGAATACCCGTGATTAAAAGCCTATGTAAAATTGTGAAAATCGGGAAAAAACTACCAACAGGTTTTTTATTGAGACTGAAAAAGTCTCACACCTCCTACGTTCCCCCTCAACTGTCCCCTGAGATAGGCGGAAATACCCCCGTGATAGAAGCCTATGTAAAGTTGTGAAAATTGGGGAAAACTACCAACAGGTTTTTTATTGAGACTGAAAAAGTCTCACACCTCTTACGTTCCCCTCAACTGTCCCCTGAGATAGGCGGAATACCCCGTGATAGAAGCCTATGTAAAGTTGTGAAAATTGGGAAAACTACCACAGCGGTTTTTTATTGAGACTGAAAAGTCTCACACCTCCTTACGTTCCCCTCAACTGTCCCTCTGAGATAGGCGGAATACCCCGTCGATAGAAGCCTATGTAAGTTGTGAAAATTCGGCAACATGCCAAGAGGTTTTTCATTTCAAATGAACACTCTCACCTTCCTTACGTTCCGCTCAAAACTCCTTTGAGATCGGCGTAATTACCCTTCGGAGAAGCCCGTGTAATAAAAACATGTATAATGGTGGGGTTGACGCTAAGACCGAACTTTATGGTGACACCTCGTTTGTGTGAGACAGTACCAACGTTTTGAACTCAACCCTTTTGACCAGAGACCTCCTTACGTCCGCAACAGTTCCTTAAATCTCTGTGTTAAAAGCCTATGGTAAGTGTGAAAATCGGCAAACATGCCCAAGAGGTTTTTCATTTCACAGACCGAAACAACTCTCACCTTCCTTACGCTCCCCTTACTGTCCCTGAGATGGGCGAATACCCCGTGAGATAAAGCCTATGTAAGTTGTGAAAATTGGCAAAAACATGAAAGGTTTTTCATTTGCACAATTGAACACTCTCACCTCCTTACGTTCCGCTCAAAACTCCTTTGACATCGGCCGTAATTCCTTCGGAGAGCCCGTGTAATAAAACATCGTGTGGGGGTTGACGTAAGCCGAACTTATGGTGAACACCTCGTTTGTGTGAGCATACCAACGTTTTGAAACTCAACCTTTTGACCAGAGACCTCCTTACGTCCGCACAGGTTCCCTTACACTCGTGGTAAAAGGCCTATGTAAAGTTGTGAAATCGGCAAAACATGCAAGAGGTTTTTCATTTCACAATGAAACACTCTCACCCTTACGTCCCCTCAACAGTCCCCTGAGATGGCGGAGTACTCCGTGATAGAGCCTATGTAAAATTGTGAAATCCGGGAAAAATACCAGGAGGTTTTTTTGTTGATCTGAAAAAAGTCTCACACCTCCTTTACGCTCCCCTCAACAGTCCCCTGAGATGGCGAATACTCCGTTGATAGAAGCCTATGTAAAAGTGAAAAGTGGGGTAAAAAATACCTTGGTTTTTTCTTGTTCAAAAAAGGGAAGGAGAAGACTAAAGAGTGACTAGCTTAACCGTTTGCCGCTGGGGCGGTAGCCTCCCGGAAGGCGGCGGGCCGGAGGGCACGGCCACGAGCCGCCAGCAAGGAGGCTTGACGCCCAAGCTTGAGACTACCGGCCCTCCGCTGCTCCCTTTGCAGCCCCCCCAGACGACCTCCGAGGACCGCTCAGGACGCAAGTGGCCCCTGGACCGAGCTTTTTCG